AGATGCCTTGAGTCGGAAACCAACAGAAATAGTTGCTTTTATGATGATTCAGGAGTGGATGATGTTAGAGGTATTGGCAAAGTTTTCTATCATGCCGAGTTCTCAGAGTACAGGGGCTCTTCTTTGTAGTTTGACTGTACAACCTACTTTGATCAGCCGGATCATTCATTCTCAGACTCAGGATAACAGGTTACAGACCAAAGCAGTTGAGGCTGTTAATGATGAAGGTAATGTTGACTGGACGTATGGAGCTGATGGTGGTATGAGATTTCGAGGTATGCTATGTGTTCCAGACTTAGCAGAACTCAAGAGAAAGATTTTAGAGGAGGCACACCACTCTAGGTACATAGTGCACCCAGGTGGCACTAAGATGTATCATGATCTTGAGAGACAGTTCCGGTGGGAAAGTATGAAACGTGATGTGGCAGAGTTTGTATCTAGATGTCTCACTTGTTAGCGAGTGAAGGCTAAGCACCAGAGACCAGCAGGACTATTACAGCCTTTGCCTGTGCCTGAGTAGAAATGGGAGCATTTGACGATGGATTTTGTTGTGGGGTTACTGAGGTCGATACATAACCATGATACAGTGTGGGTGATAGTGGACCGATTGACTAAATCAGCTCATTTTCTACCCATTCAAGCTACTGATACTGTAAAGGAATTGTGTAAGATCTACATTAGAGACTTAGTTAAGCTTCATGGAGTGCCGGTGTCTATTGTCTCAGATCGCGATCCTCGTTTTTCATCTCGATTTTGGAGTAGTTTCTATGCAGCTTTTGGTACTCCTTTGAGTTTGAGTACTGCTTTTCATCCTTAGACCAATGGCCAGTCCGAGAGGGTCATTCAGGTGTTGGAGGATATGCTTCGTGCTTGTGCGCTAGATTTTCGGGACAGTTGGGAGGATCACATTCCACCGGTTGAGTTCGCTTATAATAACAGCTATCAAGCTAGTATCGACATAGCACCGTATGAGGCACTTTATGGTAGACCTTGTCGTTCACCTGTATGTTGGGCTGAGGTTGGTGATGGTAGTTTTTTGGGGCCAGAGTTGGTGCAAGAGACTATGGAGAAGGTTACCATCATTCGAGATCAACTTCGCACAGCTCAGAGTCGACAGAAGAGTTATGCAGATCGACGTCGTCGTGCTTTAGAGTTTAGTGTGGGTGACTTGGTGTTCTTGAAAGTATCACCAATGAAGGGGGTTACGAGATTTGGTAAAAAGAAAGGGAAGTTAGCTCCTCAATTCATTGGACCTTTTAAGATCATAGAGAGGATTGGGAAGGTGGCGTATAGATTGGCTCTACCATCTAGACTATCAGCTGTTCATGATGTTTTCCATGTCTCCATGTTGAGGAGGTGCTTAAGGGATGAAACTCAGGTTGTTGACTGCACAGAGGTTCAGTTGCGTCCTAATGCAACCTATGCTGAGACGCCTGTTTGCATTGTTGACAGTATGGTGAAACAGTTGAGGCGGGCAGAGATACCTCTGGTGAAGGTGCAGTAGAATCATCAGGATGAGAGAGAGGCTACTTGGGAGCTAGAGTCAGAAATGAAGGGAAAGTACCCACATCTATTCGAATAAGGTACGCAAATTTCGAGGGCGAAATTTCTTTCTATAAGGGTAGAATGTAAGACCCGTGTATAAATTTATATATATATATATATACACACACACACACATACATATATTTATTTATTTTATTTTATTTAATTGTTATCTATGTTTGAATTTAAAAATATAGTAGTGATATTAGAGTTTTTTTTTTTTTTTTTTTTTTTAAATTTAAATAGGAATCCTAAACTATCTCAAATGCAGTTATAGTTATCTTTATATTTCATGTTGTATCAGTTCTACGAGGATATTATTTAAAAAAAAAATAATAATATTGGCACGATACAGCGTGATAAGACGGAGACCCAGAGAGAGAGTTATCTAACGTCATGTCTTCTGCAGTAGTCGGGAGAAAGGACGGTGTAACCGGGAGAAAGGACAGTGATCAGACAATTGTGTAAAAGGAAGGTTTAGCAATTTTTCAGGCAAGTTAATCTTGCATTGTATTTTTATATATATTTGAAACTTGATTATGATGAGTCTTAAAAAAATCTAATTTGTGTGTTTTAAATAAATTGTAGAAATATTATTCTTAAAGTTAGGATTATACTAGTACAAATGTGCACTTGTTTTCTTGAATTATTGGGTTCCAATAAAGGAAATTATTTGTTTTAAAATAATTAAATTAAGTTTGATCGTAGAACTTAAAATCAAGGATTTAGTTAGGATGGTTTAGTCTAGGCATGCTATTATTGGTAAGTTGAATTTAAAGTTTTACATAATGCAATATACTGTTTCCATTCAAAGGATTACAATGATTATTATAGATGGGTTCCCGTTATGATCTATTTGTATATATGGGATATAATATATGTGGTATATATGGTTGAATAACTGAGGAAAATTGTGGAAGCATATCATGGAATTTTGGGGCGTGAACCTGCTCTGTTAACTTTGTTGGAGTACTGCGAAGGTGCAAAATATATTTTCACACACACACACACATATATATATGAATATTTATGTACGTATATATGCATGTTAGACATCTTATATAAGTAATTTTATATAGAATGACTCCAGTAACTTGTTGTGGGCCTGCTTTTGGGTTAGATTAGATGCAACTATAGATTTCCATAATTAATTTGCTAGTAGCATATTGGGAATCAAATTCGGATGATGGTGATGTAGTGGGTTTGTGTAACCACTCACAGTCAAGGGACAAGTGAATGAGAGAGAGAGAGAGACCCATATGCGTTTTTAACTGGGTTTCCATTTCACTCTCTAAATCTGTTAATTTGGGTTCACTGTTGTGTCCATAGAGATTCAATATTTTTTTCTTATTATTTTCTTTTAAGTGATCTTGATTTAATTAAGTTAGGAAAGAAAAATAGTAATCATATTTCAAAATTACAAGAAATTCTATATTACTCTTTGTAAGCATATTGAAATCAATTGTGATGCAATCCTGATTTGTAGATACTGTTTAGATACTTTAACCAAATTAAAACTTCAAAAAAAAAAAAAAAAAAAAAACTATTAATGGAGAGTACGGAAAATTATTAAAGGTTTGACTCAAAAATGTTATAGGGATTTATATCTGATATTAAAGTGTGTCCAGAATTTCTGTACTCCCACTAGTTGGGTCTTAAGGGTTCTGTTTTAAATTAAAAGTGTGTTTGGGTGTATTACTTATTAATTTAAATTATTAACTAATAATGTCCCTCATAATTCACCATAGTTAATAATGATGAGTTTGGATTAGTCGGAGGGCAGTCAGGGACTGACGCTATGATGACTTTGGGTATGGTCAGGGACCTACTTATTTGGGAGTGCACTACCCTTTTATTATGGCCATGGATCTAATGAGCCTTTATTGTGTGGACGTGATCAAGGATCATCTGGGGAATAGACGTACAATCCAGCCACATGTGTGTTTTTGGTAGTCAGGGACTATACGATTCACACCATTTTATTGGACGGGAGCCCGTGGCTCATGTGAGATATGCAGATTTATTAAAAATAAAAGATGGTTATTTATTAAGTTTATAATTAACTGGGTTATACACATTTGAATAATGAACTTATTTGAGTTGCTTATATATACATGAATACAAGGTAAGGTTAATTTGCTGAACGATGATTGTGTTTAGCATTTATTGCTGAGCTTGTGAGCTCACCCCATTATCACATTTCAGGTTCACGTTGAGTAGGAACGTGATGGGATTACATGGTGGTGATGGATTTTGGCTAGCTTGTCGTATTCTTTGGTTTAGTTCAATTTCGCATTGTAATAAGAATGACGATATATTTTGGGATTTAGTTCATTTTGTTCAGTTGTCATGGATTAATTGTGACAAGGTTGATTGTTATTATAGTTGTATCGATTTAATAAATTAGTGGGTGATTTACATCTACTTCTTTATTTAATTATTTTTTTTGTAAAATTGTGGTTGTGTAAAGAAAGTCATGCCAGATTTTAATACTAGACAAGAGTTTATGTATTTAAGATTTTGGGGTGATCGTTTTTCACCACCAACACCCCGTCGACTCCCATCATTACCATTACCTCCACTGCTTTCCACCCACCACCATTGCTGTTTTCTACTACTGTCACCTCCATTGCCTTTTACCTTCATCACCTACACCATTGCCGCATTCCACAACTACTACCACTATCATCGCCTTCCACCAACACCACTGCCATCTTTCAATACCATTACCGCTTTCTACCTCCACCATCATCTACCACCGTTGTCATTTCTTTAAAATATATATATATATATATAGGGACATTTTTGAAAATTTAATTTGAAATTCATTCATTATGAATTTTAAATGGGTCCAACTAAATATTAGAATAGTTATTATCATTTCATTCCTACACATTTTATATTTGCAACCAAATAATAGATTGAGAATGACCATTCCATTTTATTATTGCATACCAAATGTAGCATCACATCCTTTCCATCTCACACGATCCCATTGCTATATGTTTGTCAGGCATGGAATTGAAATTATAATTGGTGAAATATGAAAAAAACAACTCATAAAATTTAACTAAAATTTTCTTTAATTCCACGCATTTTATTAATAATAGAGGTATTAATAAATTTTGGTTTGGGCCTTTTGGCCCATTGCACAATCTTCCAAACACTGCCTACAAACTTCTTGAAAGCCCGAAAGTTGTCCCCACAAATAATCCTAAAGGTCCTGCTGACTAGGATCGTACATCCAATCTCTTCATACCCAATTGAACTGGCTTGTTTCTCCACCATACAATCTGCTCCACGTAGCGCCACAGAAGTCAAACATTCCCATATCATTAGACGAAAATACCCTTCCATAAATATTAATTGACACGAATACCCCATTTCTTAGCAGCATGGGTCTCGTATTAATCGGCGACTTCTTCTCATCAAAACAAATCTACAATTACGTATCTTACATATATTTATATATTACATTTCTATAAATATATTTAAATAAATAGAATTCTCTCTCTGTTTTCACTACTACTCTCTCTCTCTCTCTCTCTCTCTCTCGTAGGGCGAGAATTGGGAACGTTAAGCGTCCGAAAGGTTCGTATTCCTCTCAAACCCTTTGATTATTTATTTCTAGGGTTTCTGTAATATTCTTCTTGTTGTGAAATACATTGATCTTGATTTTTTCCAATCGTTTGGTTGCCGAGAAAGGTAGGAAAGAAAAGGAAAAAGAAATTGGAAGTTTCAGTTTTTATATTTTTATTCTTGTTTCGACTCGAGAGAACAAAAACCTCCAGTCCAGTAACCAAAAACAACTTATTGTGTTAATTTAGAGATAGATCTTTAGAAAATCTCTTCAATATTTATTTCTTGTATGATACTTAGTTTTCTTGGCAACCCAACGGAGGATTAGGGCTTGTGCTTTTTAAGAAAAGATTAAAAAATTTCGAACTTAACACAAGTTTTTTGTTTACTTATTTCTTTATTGTAAACTGTAATTATTCATGTGTCATTATTTGTATATTTATTCAATTTATTTTGTTATTATAATGTTCTGTATTTTCTGAAATTTGCTTTTGTCTTTTCTGTGTAGATTTAGTAGTTATTGAAGATGGGTTTCAATTCAGTTTATAAGGCATTGCAGGAGGTTTTTCCACAGGTAATATTACTGCTAAGTTTTTATGTTTTTAGTTTGTTTCTTTAATTGCTTGATTCAAGTTGAGATTTGTGGTTAATCATGAATGATGTATTGTTTAGATTTTGTCCTAGAATCATGGAGAAGTATGGAGATGTATGTTTGTAGTGGGTAAATGCAAATTCATGATAGTATATTTAACAATCCTTTTCTTCATGTTTTTATAAGGTACTAGTGATTATAACTTATGAAAATCTTCCACTCAACATAGCATTTATTAATAGGGTAACTATATTGAAAATTTTAAGATTACAATAATTAATTACTTAAATTATATAACAACTCTTTTGGTGTTGACGAGCTTCCATTGAATTGTGAGGTTATTATGAGTTCATTTTATTTTATTTTTTGTGAGGTTGATATTTTAATCACTTTTATGATTGCATACCAACTGGTTACATTGTTTTGTGGTAAAATCAATGCAAAAATTTAGCAACCTTTCTTCACTTTTGTGTCATTATCAACGTAGACCACGTTTCAAATGTTATTTTGAACAGCTTGATGCTCGGATACTAAGGGCTGTAGCTATTGAGCACTCTAAGGATGCTGATGCAGCCGTGGAGGCTGTTCTTGTCGAGGTCATCCCCTATATCTCCAAACGGTCCCCGGAACCCTGCTCTTCTAATGACAATGGTGTTTTGCTGGAACAGTCAAGAGGTAATACCTCTGCGAAACGGTCCTCATCACCCTGCTCTTCTAATGAGAATGATGTTTTGCTGCAACAGTCAAGAGGTAATTCCTTTGCTCCTATGTTTGTTGAAATGCTCATACAGTTTTAAATTCAATTTCCAATTTCAGTCGAGACATCAGTTTTTCTTTTTTCTTTTTTTTTTTTTTTTTACCCTTTTCTAGAAGTTGTATGTTGATTGATCAGCTTTCTAAAATTCACGTGTCAGATAAGTCTTTAAATTAAATTCCTTGTGGAAGGTAATCAATATGTGTTCTTTTCAGTTAAATTTAGCTTTTGTAAATGTTGTAGTTGACATAACATGTTGATTTTATTAGCTGGGAAGGTGGCAACCACTTGGCATGTACTCATAGTGCTCTTATTGCAGGTTCAACAAGCTGGGATGAGTCTTTAAATGGTTCTTCATATTATGATATAAATGTTGGTCAAGATCAAGTATGCGGATCTAATGGAATTGAGGAATTGACTTCATTAGGGAAGCGTGAAGAACATAGCGTCAAAGTTGGATCTGATCTGACCTCCCAAGTCTCATCAATCACATTGATAGATGAAAATGATGCAAACGATGATCATGAACAAGTAGGTGGAAACACTGAAAGTGAAGTAGCCATTTCAGTAGGGAAGTATCAGGAAAGTAGTGTCGACGTTGGCTCTGATGAGAATTTACTTGTTTCATCAACCACTTTGGAGCATGAGAATCGTGGTGTAAATGGAAGCATAAATGATATAATACATTCTGATTGTGAAGGTACTGAAGGATGTGGTGCTTGTCATTGTAATATGGCTGTTGATGAGGGAAACAGTCAAGATCAATCTTGTTTAGAGGGAAATGCATTGGAGGTTGAAAATTCTGTGGTTCAGCTGGCTCTATCACCTGTTCAAGAAGAGACACTGATTTCTCCTAAAACCAGTGATCAGTTGGTAGTTGTGTCTGACTTGCTAATTACTGGTTGTGAGAAACCAGAACCAAGTGATTCTTTGGATGTTGCTTCCAAGGAAGATACATATGTTGGTGAAATGATTGCTCTGGAGGATGAGTCAACCTTGAACACTAGTGTTACCAGATCTGGCCAAATTTGTAGAATTGATCTTCTTGAGAATATTATTGAAGATGCAAGAAGTAACAAGGTATTATCAGCATCAAAATTTGCTTGGCTTTTAGTGTCTTATTATGAATTTAAGAGAAAAATTGGGAGCATTACTAGAGTAGGCTTATAATTTTATAACTTTACTCATATACACTTGGCATATGTTCCACATGATCTGAGCCACATGCTGCATATATCTAATACTCTGTAAACTGCCTCCATGTTTATAGAGTAGTAATCAAATTAAAGGGGAAAATTCTAATAGATATATAAGTCTATGTGGCTTTGCATTCTTACCGAAATGGCCATTTCATGTTCCAATTTTTTCTTTCCTTGGCTGCTGAAAATGTCCATTATTTTAATTATGAAAAAAAAGTCCATAATTTCCCATTGTAAGAAATTTTCATAAAAGTATTTACACTAGATTGTATTAAAAATATGTTCTTTCTTTTTTTTGGGTTGTTGGGGGGTGGGTTGGCGTGAGGTTGGAGAGCAAGCTGATTTATGTATCTTAGGAAGGAGAATTGATAATAGCTAGTTGGCATATTTTTTCAGTTTAGTATAAATTACTTTGTCAAGAGTATTTTCTGCATCCAGTTTCAGTTTCATATCGTTTCTTGTGGCTGGTTTTTTTTTTTTCCCCTTGCCTTAATCCCATATAAATGGGGTCAGCCACATTAATTCTCTCTCCAAGCTTCTTAATTACATGCCATTTCACCTACTATATTTAACTTTTTAAAATCATTTATAGCAACATCATCCCATGTTATTTGGTCGCCCTCCCCGTCTCTTACCTTCTATTAAAACTAGTCTTCCTCATTTGACTGGCGTGTCTCTAGGTCTCCAATGTATTTGTCCAAACCATCAAAGTCTACTCTGATTTTTTCACCAATGGGAGCTACATCTAATTATAGTCACACTTTCATTAGTGACCACCTTCATTAGTGATCACTTTCATTAGTTACCCTCTCTCTCCTAGTTACTCCACTCATCCGCATTCTTATTTACTATTTAGGGCCCAACACTCTGCTCGGACCACTCTATAAAACATGGTCTAATAACGGTCCTTGTACAATTTTCCCTTTAACCTATGTGTTATTCTTATCACATAAAATCCATCTAGCTTGTATTTATTTTGTCCAACCCGCTCCAATTCTACTAGTTACATCACTGTTTCGCTATCTATCTCTCCATCCTTTTGTATTATCGTTCCTTTGATAACAAAAGTGGTTATTTTGAGTAATCTTTTCGTTTTGGAGTGCTATTATTATATTGTCAATGTCCCAATCTTTATTAAATTGACACTCCATAAAGATCTATGATATTATAGAAGTCAGGGTTGTTGCTTTTAGGTTACCTTACAAATTCTTTTAACTTTTTTCGTTGTTCTTCATTTTTTTCCAAGTTCTACACTGCATTCTCTATTATTTTATGTTGACTACTGCTGAAGCCTTTTTTCCTTCACACTTTAGATGGTGGTTGGTGATTCTAGCACAAACCTGTGAACTGTCCTTGAAGAAATTCTGTGTTGGACTTGTAAGCTATAAAGATTTGCAATATTGGGATTAGAAGATTTCCCCTTTTAATCAATAAATTTCAAGACAGGTATTTCTTGTAGCCTTGACTAAAAAACAAAGTGTTTTGGTCAATTTGGTTGCTATTGTAGTTTGGGATGACCTGTGATAATTTAGTAAGGTTGATCAACCATTTGTAATCCAACCATCAATCTTTGGTTTTTGGGCTTTGTGTTTTCAGACGTTCCACTATTTATTATAAAACACACTGCATATACATACAAACATAGAGAAGAGAGGTGAACGGAGTACCTGTTACAAATTGCCTTTTGTCTTTTTGTTGTTGTGGGACAGAGCTGTTTTGGATTCTTATAATTGAAAAATGGTGCAGAAAACCTTGTTTTCAGCTGTGGAGTCAGTTATCAGCTTGATGAGAGAAGTGGAAGATCAAGAGAATGCTGCAGAACAAGCCAAGGAGGAAGCTATTAGAGGGGGCTTGGATATTCTCACCAAGGTGGAAGACCTCAAAAAAATGCTGCATAATGCAAAGGAAGCAAATGACATGGTTGTGCACTTGTTACAATATAAATTTTAATTCAATGATTTGAGAATCTAGCTGTTCTTTGACTAATTAAAATAAAATTTTGGTCTACTTTCCTATTGTTGCAGCATGCGGGAGAAGTATATGGAGAGAAGGCCATTCTAGCTACTGAAGTAAAGGAACTTCAATCTCGCCTGCTTAGTTTGTCAGATGAAAGGGACAAATCCCTTGCAATTCTTGATGAGGTGCTGTTTTACATTTTATTATTTATATTCTTTCGCCCCACACGCTTAAATTCCATTTTAGAGTCACTTCTATAGCAATTAATTACACATTAATATAAACTTTAATATCTGGTAGGACGTGCCAAAAATGTGTTCTAGTAATATATGTTTTTGCTTCTAGTACACTGGTGTTGGTAATTCATATATATATATATTCACATAGCTAGTTTGTGTTTGTGCGCATAATCTAACAAAAATAATTAGTTGTCCTGGTTGTGGTTGTTATATTTTAATAAATCAATTAAGTTGGTATGCTATCAATTATATAAGCTCCCACAGTTGCTAAAGTAACTTTGGCATATATGGAACTATGGAAGTAAAGTGTTGTGGATAGTTGTACAAACTACTCCAAATCTATACATTGCTTTGGCAATATCCATTATTTCTTTGGCATTGGGAACACCCTTATTTATATTCATGTTAGCCTTAATTCTCTACAAGATGCAGCAACTTGTTACATTTGGTTTTAAGATTGAATTCTATGCATCCAACTTGCTAAGTTTTGGTGTAATGCTCTCCCCAGTCTACCCGTCAACTGTGAAAGTGGTTTTGATGTACTTTATTACGTGTATTTGATGAGTAATTGGTTCAAGTTCCATGTGATATAGATTCTTGTACCCTTCCTTTCTGCTTTGAATTGTTGAGTAGACTCTCTGAATCTTGAACTGTTTCCTGTCTGGTCATTTGACTTTGCTAAAGCACGATCTGAAAGAGTCTTTGCTCCATATCGCTTTTGAATTTTAAGTCTTATTATGGCCTACCAACTCCATTGATATAGTCTCAGTTTATTTATTTGTAATAAAGAAAGAATAATGTGGAGAAATAACATGGTATCCCATTTTTTCTGCAGATGCGTCAAACTCTCGAGTTACGATTAGCTGCAGCAGAAAAAGTTAGAGAAGCAGCGGAGCAGGAAAGGCTAGAAAAGGTAAAATCTGCACAAAATGCACTTGCTGAGCAAGAACTTGTAATGGAGAAGGTGGTTGAGGAGTCGAAGATACTGAAGCAAGAAGCAGAGGAGAATTCCAAGGTAGAAAATCTCTCCATACATGTAACTGTGTTGATATTTTTAATTCAGGCAGACTTCACGTGATTATCACCATGACTTGAACTTGTCATTTTTCTGTATTGCAGTTACAAGAGTTCCTTGTGGACCGTGGCCGTGTTGTCGATATGTTGCAGTAAGTTCTGTCATTCATAAAAAAATCAAGTTCCAAGTTTGTAGTTCCCCATTTGTTGGCTATATGTCCATTCATAATGGCTGATGCATAAAACCGTATCATATGAAACCATTTGACTGAAGGATAACTCTAAAATAAGTACCAAGGTTCCTACCGATGAGCCTATTTTTCTGACCAGACTTCACCTGACTATATCTTGCTCGAGAGGTTTCATAATGCCAATATTTGTGCTTTCTTTGGCTACTGCAGCTTCTACTCTTGCCTAGCACATTTTTTCCCCTTTGTTTTGGTGGGTAAGCTATTTACACAAAACACAAACACTATGTCTCTTGAGCTGACCGGATTCAACCTTCCATTTGGAAGGAGGACATACCACTTGAGCCAAAAGGCTTGGTAAAACAAAGAATAAAATTAGGCAGGCAAAGCATTGGTAGTGAATTGTTGTAGAGTTGGTTGTTTACATCCTGCTGCTGCTTATTGAAAACTTTGGTTAACAGACAATTTACTTTCCATTTTTATTATATATATATTTTCTTTTTTGCAGAGGAGAAATCTCTGTCATTTGCCAGGATGTATTGTTGCTGAAAGAGAAGTTTGATGAGCGCGTTCCACTTAGCAAATCTCTTTCTTCCAGTCAGACAAGCTGCATCTTAGCCTCTTCAGGCTCATCCCTGAAAAGCTTGGCACCAGATCAGGTTCCTGAGCAAGATGAGCCGTCTGAGACCCCAACGAAGACGAGCCCAAATGCCTCTGTTGATGACCAGCTTTTCCTTGTAGGGGAGGGGGCTAAAGATGATGGCAAGGCACTTGTGGAGGATGGATGGGAATTTTTTGACAACCGCGAATTCTACATTTGAACTCCATGCATTGTGGACAAAACAGAATGAGAGAACTATACAGATTCTATGATACGTTATTTGGGGTAGTTAGTTCCAAGTCTGCTTCACTATTTTCTAAATAAGTTTTTGTTAGCATATATAGTATTTCTGAATATTCTATACTGATCAGGTACAATGAAAGTTCTATGGTGGACTGCAAATTACTATTTCCACAGTTCAGTTGTACAGCATAGATATATAAATAATAGTGGGAATATATATATATTATTGGCATGGTTATCTCTCCTTGTACAATTCTTACGTGAGCTAATAGTGTTTGATAATGTCATATATTTACAACTGTCAACGATCTTAGCAAGATACGTGGGAACTCTTACGTTTCCAAATTGATATCCCGTAAATATTCATGAGAAGTAATTGCTAGTATTTTGTGTATGTTTAATGCAGTTGTCACAGGGTAGAAGTTTTGATCAATCTTATTATTGCTTGTTCAATTTCCTAATGAAGCTAATGGTGTTCAATTATCATTATTATTATTATTATTATTTTTTTTCTCCTTCGGCATTACAACGCATGCACTATTCAAGTCAAGAGTGTGATTTAAGTCCAGAGTGCGATTCGAAAGCAAAACTTTAAGAACTTCTCTTCCAAATCCCGCCCTGGGAGGAAAATTATCATTGTTTACCTTAGTCTTTTTCTCTATCATTGTTGACTGACTATACAGAAACAAATAAATAATGATTGTAACAATTTCAATTACATTTCAACCATGCCTTCTATATATTCTCCCACTTTGGCCCTTTTGGCTTGTTGCGTACTGGAGCGCTTCCGGAAAAATGGTCAAAATCGGAAGCATAAAAATGATGCTTTTGGTTGATTCTGTCAAAAAAAAAAAAAAAAAAAAAATTTCATTTTTAACTAACCATTCAAAATTAAATTTGCAACACTTTTTACCAAACATTTTTATGTTTTTATTTTCAAAAATCTTGGAACAATGAATAAATTATAAACACACTCTAAACTAGAAATATTGTTTTTGCTTTGGATCAAAATAAAAATACAAAGCAACTTCGAGTCAAAATAAAAATACAAAGCAAAAACGGTTGCCAAACGACGCAGTCTTTTCCATCTCCTAAAGTCGGTTCTAATGCATTGTAATGGTACTACTACTTTCTTCTGCTTGGCCAAGAACAAACAAACTATGTTCACCCTGGGTGAGTAGGTCGAGAGCTAGTTTGGGGTCCATTCCCCTGCTAAACCATATCCCCATTGTTTGCAGCAAAGAATTATTAGGATGGTTCCTAACCCTATCTAAATGGAAAAAATAATTCACGGATAGGTCTTCGATGTGAAATAGTGTGACAATATATATCTAAATTGTATAAGCCAAAATTGAATGACCATGATTAGATGTGTCTAGGGCTACAAGTTGGGCATGCTCAATCCAGCCCGGTCCCAACCCAACCTCAACTCGAAGTCGGGTTGGGTTGGGCCAGCTCGAATGTGTTTGAGCTGGACGAGTTGACCCGTTCAATTTTTATTTTATTTTATTTTTCTTACGAACAAATATGCAAATTACATCGTTTCTTTTCCAATTTGAAACATAATGAAATATTCAATTATTAATTTTTAGGTTTTTCAACTCTAATTTTATTTTTATTAATTCAAAAATATAAAACTTACCTTATTTTATCTTAAATATAAAAGTAAAAAAACTTTTTCTTTTTTATTTGTTATTAAATAAAATTTTATTTTTAAATTACTCCGAATAAAACCCTAAAACAATTCGTATACATATATCTAATTCTATAGATGCCGAGTGGGCAATAGCTCCACTCAGAATGGGCAATAGCAAAACCAGAATAGGCAAGAGTGTATATATATATATATATATGCTGTTTTTCTCTTTACCTATTCTCTCTCCAATCACATATATATGTCAAAGACCAATTTAGTGTTTTCGGCAAAAGAAATAGACACTTCACATGTGTGTATATATATATATATATATATATATCTCAAATATTTGAAAGGAAAGAAAAAAGAAAAAAGAAAAAAAAATATGGAAGTTTTTTTAAATGGAAGTTTTTTCAAAATTTCCAGAAAATTTTAATTCATTAATAATTTTTTTTAAAAATCTTATCAAACTATTAGTGTCATGGCTGTGAAGTATTCAATTATTATTTTTTGCGTTTTTTCAACTCTAATTTTTTATTTTATTAATACAAAAAAAATAAAACTTTCCTTATTTTATTTTAAATACAAAAATAAAAAACTTTTTTCTTTTTATTTGTTATTAAATAAATTTTTATTTTTAAATTTTGGGTTGGATTCGGGTTGAGCCCGAGCCCAACCCGAATTGTTTGGGCTTTAAAAAATCCAAATTGTTGGGTAATCTTGGTATGCTAAACTTAAATTCAGCAACAGAAACACAATTTCAAGTCATTGAATCATGTAATGGGTACTTCCTATGTATTATTGAATCATAAATTCTGTTTAACTACAATTAATTTATTACCCATTTACTTTGTTTTCCATGTGTCCCCACTTCAGTAAATTGCTGCTGAACAATAAATATAGGTGCCATTTTTCTAGATAAAGAAAATGTCTGGTAGAGAATATCATTTGCATTGAATCTGGAAGTCAAGGACCTAAGAATTTTCTTACTGCAGGACCACAATGCACATGTCTAGCAATATAGAAAATGACCAAACTACCCCTGTAAAGGACGGACAACACATATAGTAGAAACTACACCGGTAGTGAATTTTTCCAAGTATGAATACACAATTTAGCATTCTGAATGACATAAAAATGACCACACAGATCGATATAGGAAATTACAATATTAACTCTGTAAGTGACAGAGCCATAGAAATCACTTTACACATGACAATGCACAGTAGAAATGGACGTTAAAAACCATTTTGACATTAAAGAGGCAAACCACTACACTGGATTAGGGACCAACTATATCTCTCATCTATCGTTCTTTATTTATTTATTTATTTTTTTTAGTTTTAAATTATTATTATGAGTTAAATGTTTTGTTAAGGTTAAGATTGAAGCCACAACATTGATATGGTGTTTGCTTAACGATTATATATGGTGTAAATATAAAATTTCATAATTTTGAATTGATTCAACTATTTAGGAAAAGTATTTATTCTGTATAATTTTTTGATTTATCGTGTCTAGGCACGACGATTGCTTAGAATTCCCTGCGAATCCAATTTCTAGTTTTGTCAAATTATGAAACCTTAGCGTTTTAAAATATTGTCTTTTTATCCAAATCAATTCTTTTTTTTTTTTTTTTATCAACCCTACGACTATCCAAAACTTTTAAAATAAAATTTATTTTTTCCAACATAAATTGTTGTTTTCCCTTTTCCCTCGACTCACCGAATATATATCACTTCGCGACATCCTGCACTTAATTGGGAGCATTATTAAAGTCACAATACTTAATTTGAATATTTATATTCCTTGTCAAATTTGATAAGATGCTTTGATCGATCAAATAATTTGTACTAGTCGAAAAGAAAACTGATAAAATGCTCTACAAAATTTGAGGAATAGTATCTTTAAACCTTGTAACGACTTTAGATACATATATACGATAAATGGTTTTGCTGTACACCACCCTCGTTTAATTTTTAGAGTGACTTGGAGTACCTCCCTATTAATACTAAAATGCTCAACACTCATTTTATTTTCTTCAAGGCCGAAAGATCTTCAAAGTAATTTTTGATCCATCCTTCGATGACATCCAGCTCTCTCTGTCGTTGCTTCACCAACCAGTCGGGATCAGTCGGCTTTGCTCCCATTATGTCCAAACAATGAGATCCTGCATATTAAAGTAGATATTGTAAATCTCTTGAAATATTAATGCTATTTTAATCTGGGAGTAAATTGGGTGAATATTTATACATACATATATGTATCTATATATATATATATATATATATTTGCAGTTTACCATATATCTTCTGTAAAAATATGTTCGAGCAGTTGGTTAACTTTATCAGTGTCTCATATTAATCAACTAGCATCGACTATACATATATGATAATTTTTTGATTTAATATTATAAGTTTCTTGAATAATATATATATATATATACACACGCGTACACACAGATGTATATCATCTACTGTTTTAATTTTGTATTTTGCATGTAACTGTAAATTGAGCTAGCTGGGGTTTATATATAAATTGTTTGGTCGGAGTGACAGGGTTGACCTACCGTTAACCGTAGAAATGGAGAGAATACTATCTGATATGTCCTTCAACACGCTGTGATCAAAGGAGAAAAGCAATAGCATATTAGGTCAACTAAACTAAGACATGTTAAATTAATTTTATCTACTTACAAAGGATTAAAAAAAAAAAAAATGTCATTTTCAACTACCCGCCAACGCTATAAGGATCTCTTAGTCCGTTGGAGAAAATGATGTTGCTAGCAAACCTTTGGAGAACAAATCCTATATCCTACAATGAGCCATTGAAAAGCACTTGTTAAACTTCTAAAAGTAATTAATTAGTAATATATAACTAAAATGAATATAATAATTATAGGAAGCACTTAGAAATAGAATTGAAAAAAAAAAAAAAAAATCCAACGTACATACTTTGCCTCCAAAATAGGTTGTGGCCCAATGAGGTCTTGGTGGGACGCCATAGGTGTCAATGCAATCCTTAGTAAAGTTGATTAAATTGTCCGAAGGATCAGGCGGGAAGAAAGTTTCCTTCCCCTGTCCAAATGGCTGAACCATCTCACTGCATGTCTTAATAAACCAACCAACAATTCAAATCAGATGAAGAAAATTTTAAGGTCTGTTTGGTTTATACACACACACACACAATATATACAGATTTACTGTAAATGTTCTCAGATGGAGAAAACCCCATTCTCTTTCATGGTTTATTAATTCCCACTTTGTTCCAAGTTTTCTCTCCCTTTTTCCTATTTTGTCCAAATTTCACACTTTTATATATTATGATAATTAACAATATATATATATATATATATATATATGCAACTTACTTGCCAATTATACCCCACATTTGTTTGGCTTGCGTTGGGTCTCGTATCATAGCAAGTTTGGTTATTATTATTGGCGACGACACCAGCAAATATCCGGCCAAGAATATCGGTTCCTTTCGGTGCCGTATCAATGGCACCACAGATCACAGTAACAGGATATTTTGGTGGATGATTATATTGAGCTGCTCTTTGATATATATGCATTAAGTAGTCCTTGAGCTCAACCGATCCGTTTATGAGCCTGAACCAATTTGAAAATGATTCATATGTGTTAATAAACTCTATTATAAAACTAATTATTGAATAGAGAATTAATAATATATTAGGATCAAATATATATAGTATATAGTTAGTTACGAGCAAGTCTTGAATCTCTGGCTAAGGATTGAAAGGCCATTTGGCCGAGCAGCAACTGTATCAATTTTAGACCATGATTTTTTAATAATCCGATAGCATCTCTTACTAGCCTCCTGCAACAATGCATATATAGTTACTTCCTTGTACCATCCATGGGGTAAAATTAACTTGGAAGAAAAAAAAAAAAAACACAATAAATAGTGAAATGAAATTAATTTATTTTCATTAAATAATTAAATTGTACGTACCTTGAAATCCTTTGCAACAATGGTACGATACCCGTTATATGGGAGGACGCCATGGAAGTTAGCAACAGGTGCGGATGAAGCTAGAGCTCCGAGAGTGATGTGGGGATACCTTAGCCGAAGCCATGTCGCAAGCACTGAAAATTTTCAAGTATGGGATATATAGGAAATAATTAAATGATATATATCTTAGTTTTATGTAATTGGGTAAATATATTAATGGTTAATTAATATTATTTGCTAGATTGCTTACTTCCTCCATAAGATCCTCCAATTACAATAACAGGAGAGTGGCGAGCAGAAAATTTCTCCTTGAGGTATGTGATTACTGTTGCATAATCTGCTATTGCTTGAGCTGAATTGAAATAACCGCGAAGAGTAGCATTTTTCATAGCATTTTCAAATGATTCGAATGGAACTGATTTTCCATAGAACCGATGCTGATACATGAGCAAACAAATTAAACATACATGCATGTATGCACTTTAACATTAATACTAAATCTATGAAATATATATATAAAGCTACAGGTCTTGGCATGGATTTGTTACTCTACCTCTATATAGATTAGTAGAGCTTTAAAACGAGGGGCACTATCAGTTAGAAGCGCACCAGTCATATTAGCAGTTTCATTCTTAATTAATGGCGACTCAGAACCAAGATAAACGAAGATTGGCGCGTTTTCCTTGGCACCCCCCCAGTATTTGGAATTTATCACATATCTTTGTTGAAAAGTGGTATAGCTTTCAGGCTTGTAATTGAAGTGATCAAGTGTTTGGTTGTAAAAAAAGATTTCAAAGTCTTTCTTTGGGGTTTCTGGATTTGTGTGTGGTGATGATTTTGTTGATTTTGTTTGATCACCTTGTAGGAAAATTCCTCCAGAAAGACCCAGCCTTGGTCTATTATATGGATTTGCAGACACAATGCTTGAGGAGATTAGAGCAAGCAAAGAAACCAACTGAAATAAAAGTTTAAGCAAGTTCGACATTGTAGTATATGGGTTGAAATAGAGCTAGAGGAATTAATGTGATCTCTTAAATCCCATTTGAAGCCTCAAAGATCCGTTCTGCTATACATATATATATGCATTTATGCAACTGGACTTTTTTGGTTTACTAGGGAAATGCATTAGATTATGTTGACCGAGTCATTTTAATACATACATATATGGAAACAATTAATCAAATCCCTTTGGCTTTCTAGATGTATGTTGTCAATGCCCATCATTAGGCTGAAATCTTAAGCAATATATTTGCACTGGTTTTTATTCTAAATAATCTTGGGATTGGATTTATTTTTCAGTCTTCCCTTTTGTCACCTTCCTTCTATGACCTTCTGTTTGCTATACATAGTGTTTGATCCTTTTTTTATACTTGTGGTTTGGTAGCCTTCGTTCCAGATATGTTTTTGAGCATTTGGGTGGTTGGGTATATTTTTTTAGTAGGGTAATGTGCAATAAAATAACCCGTATGTCAATTTAATGATTGAAATTGTGAAATATATATTTTGTAATTGGTTAATTTTGGTGTCAAAACAAGTTCGATCGAGTTGTATTTCTAAGTTTAAAATTCAAGTTCAAGATCGGTTGCAGAATTGAAGAGTTGTTCATATTCGATAGCTTGAAATCTACGAAAATGTAAGAATAACACCTTAGGAAGATAGGTTAGAACACTTGCATACATTGTATGTTTTTCAAAATATACGTTGCTAAATTTTTTCTGGGTGTTTAAATCTTCAAGTTCAAGTCTGGCAAACTTGAACTGGTTCAAGGTAGCTGAACCGGTTCAAGATGCATAGCTTCGTTATTTTTTTTTAAAACAAAATCAATACTGGCCAACTTGAACCGGTTCAAGGTCCCAGAATTGGTTCAAGTGCAAAAACCTGTGCACAAATTTAACATATTTTCTAAGTATATCTAGGGTTTTGAAAGTCTATATAAACATATTTTCTCATCTAGGTTTTTGTGGCTTTTGCATTAAACTTCTCATCAATCTTTTAAAAGCCTTTTTGTGAGAATTTTTAAAAGCATACAAATTATATACACAAGAGTGAATTTAGGGTGTTGTTCAAACCCTAATCCTGTTCAAGTCTATTGAAGATTGCATCTACAACGATTAGAGAAAACAGATCTACTTATTTTACATCAAATTCAAATTCAACTAAGAAGAATTTCAAATCACACTTTGAAGGGATCAAGACATTTGTGTAATACCCCTACTTTAAAAAGGAATAAAATTAGAATTTAAATGTTATTTTATGTGCATTTTTATTTTATTTATTAATTTTATGAATAAATGCTTATGTGGCAAATTGTTTATTTGTGTGTATTAATTGATTTATTTGTTAATTATTTATTTGCGTTTATTATTTTGGTTTAATTGCCTTAGTTGAATTATTTAACATTATTTGCATTAATTGACTAAATTGGATAATTTGATTTAATTGATTTATTATTGTTTTATTAAATGGAATTTAATTGTAGGTTTTTGTTATGGGCCAACTCGGATTAAGTTTAGGGCTCTATCTCAATGTGACAAGGATTAGGGTTTTAGTTTTTAGTCTATAAATACATCATTATGCGTTAAGCTAGGGTTTTACGATATATCACATAGCATATACACGTAGAGGGTTCTGCAAAACACAGAGAGATACAGAGTAAGGTTTGAGAGAACAGAGCAAATTGTGAGTTCTCGACTGAGGTTTCAAGGCCAAACCTAGGAGAAGGAAAGGGCAGAGGTAATAGGAGGCTAGACAGTGTTGCAGTGGTCACCGGAAAGTCTAGGAGGAAGACGACGTTAAAAGGTTTCAAATCGGAACCGAAAGGCAAGTTTTATCTTCCTCTTTCCCTTTGGGCCGTGTTCTGTGCACCTAGATAATCTCTAGGGTTTAACTAATCAGTAATTGGAACTTACGTGTATATATATATATTTCATTGATGATATATTTGCCTTAAAACAAATCTGTTACAAAGCATGTAACACTGGTTCCAGTTTTCTGCCTTTTAAGCATGTTGTAACTTTAATTTTTGTAGTTAATTTAAACTATTGTAAACAAAGTATAAGAATGCTACTGGGGTATATAAAACTCATAGGGATGCTATTATTCTATTTTAATTACTTGTTGCAATCCGTTCTGTTTCAATTTGCACATGGTTCCAATGTTCATACTAACAGCATGTTAAGTTGGGTAGCAAACTTAAGCTTTGTAATTGATTTAAATTGCTATAATCAAACCCTGGGGATGCTATTAGGAGGGTATTAGATCCTTAAGATCAGTTTAAGAAACCAACAGAGGGGTAGGAATTGATCGGAGAAGGAGCAGATTGACGGAAACGGAGCAGAGGTGAACTGGAGGCTCTCAAGAGGGAGAGAGCCGGCTCTAGAAAGTCAAGAGCCGGCTCTCCTTCAGCAAGAGCCGGCTCCTAGGGAATTGGAGCCGGCTCCAATAGGGGAAGAGCCGGCTCTTCCATTCCAAGAGCCGGCTCCAATTTGTTTTACGTCCAGAAAGTGTTTTCTAGGGCTCTGTTTGGTGTTTTGAGCACTGTTTGAGCTTTTGAGTGATGCTAATGAACTGTAGGGACTTAACAGAGGATCTAAGTAGTTAATTTTAAGTGTTATTAAACTTATTATTGTATGGTTTAAGTCTCTAAGACAAAGGATGTAGCAGTGTAAAAATATACAACGGTGTATGCTACTAACAGAAGAAAGGAACTAAATGGCTTGATTAAATTTTAGAAATTTAATGAGACTTCACGGAGGGATTAAATAGTTAATTTTGGGTGTTATTAAGACCTTAAATTGATTTAAGGTTAATTCTAAATTAACGGATCAAACTGTATAACACTTATGTACAATTGTATACGGTTAGTGGATGGATGAAGTTTTAAATGCTTAAGCTTATTTTTAGGCATTCCAATGGGATTTAATATATTTATAAAAGGGGTTTAAATATATTATAGGGTCATTGGTGTATTAGATGTGATCTATGCATGCTCTGGATGTTAGTTGTTGAATTATGAAATCATTCCTTACAACTATATGGTTTAAATGCTTGGATTTAATTACAAATACTTGGATATTGGTTTTGGATTATAAATCGCTAAACGATTATATATATATGTGGAATTTTAATTGCTGAATTAATAGATTCTGTCAATTACATGGTTGTGGAGGATGGTATGAACCGGTATGGGACGGTGTCATACTAGGAATGGTTTAACTCAAAACGCATAAACCTAACCTATTGGATTTAAGGGAAGGATTGTAAAATATTGAATCCTAAACCTTGTTTAGTCAGATCGACTGATTAAGTTGAAAGACTATCTGGATTAATTGTGTTTGTGTGTAGTCGGATCGACTGATTAAGTTGAATGACTACCTGGATTAAATGTTGGTTGTGTTTAAGTCAGATCGACTGATTAAGTTGAATGACTAAACTGGATTAAAATTCTTATGTCAATTCAATAAACAATAAAATGGCATACCTTGGGTTAGACGGACTTTATATATATGTTATGGCACCACGATATGGGCATGAGTCTCAGAGTCGTTGGTTAGGGAGCGTATATGCATTGGGATGCATAGCTGAATATGATGGTTGAGGTGTACCCTGTTAGGTCTAGGTATTCATGCCCACCTTTGGGTGCATTTATGCATGTTGCCTTCTACTCAGGTTGAGACCCCATTATAGTCCAGTGAAGGTCTTCTAGTGTGGATATATTTATGTATGGACTAGATAGATATTGTGAGGTATCTATGGTGTATCTGCGTATCGGGTCATTGTATGGATTGTAGTTAGATTAGAACTTGCTCGTGGGCCTGACCCACCCTTCTATTATTTTTTTCAGGTGTTCGTTAACTCCAGTCATAGAGCTGGATCGTGCTGAGCAGATACAGTCATTCACTCCACCGTTGACATAGGATTGTATTTCATGTGGTAGAATTGAGTTTTATTTCCAGTTCTTTTGAATACAGTTGGGATTTGAATAGGGGTCCACTAGATGGATTCCCGAGTTGTATATGGAGGATCAGTTGTATCATAAAGGTTGTTTACTAATGAAATTTTATTTCGGGATTTCATTCAATGGATTATCATTTTAGTTTTCTATTCAGCAAATTTTATTTATTCTTATTTACTTTAAAATTGTACTCTGTGTTCGTTAATTGCTAATTTATTTGATATCCTCGGGTAATCGGGCGTGGGCCTGGCCAACCCGCATCCGGAAATTTGGGGGTATCACAATTTGTGGAATGTTATTGATCTACCAGCGATTCTTCTACAAGATTTGAGACATAAGTCTGAAGCCAAGAGTTATTGGATGAGAAGTCACAAAGTTAGAGACATTCAGCATATTGAGTCTCGGTAGAGCGGAGGGGTTTGAGTCTAAGTCAAAGTTTAGTTTACTTTACTTCATACATAGTGGATCTTTTTACCGCACAAAACCTCAAGATTTTTCAATTGGTTTCCTCACTAAAATCAGGTGTCATTCTAAACTTTACTTGCTTTTATTTTGCATATGATAGTTTAATTAATTGGTAATTTTAGAAGAGTTAGTTGAATAGAGAAACACAGTGATTAAATTCTCTTTAGATAAAAACTTAAACTTTTCACAATATATTTCGCTCCACAACTCACATAAATGTCTAAATATCCATAGAACAAAATAAAAGGAAAAAAAAAAAAAATGAAAAATATCAAATTGTCCCCTCCTCTCCATTTTTCTCCCTCGCTCTATTTTCATTTTCTGGTCAGTCTTTCCCTCTTTCCGGTGACTTTAATATTTGTGGATGTGTCTCTCTCCCTTTTTTTTTTTTTTTTTTGTGGTGACTTCTATATATTTATTGATCTAGTCATATTTGTTATTACATACATTCATGGATTCACACAGTTGTCAAGGCTTGGCTTTCCCTCTTAAAAATTATTTATTTCACTCTTTACAATGCTACTAACAGAGATGCT